TCTGTGGAAGCTCCGCCATAGCCACCACCAAACAACTGAGTTATTTTTACACATCTCCCAGCATCTGGTCAATCCACCACTTTTCAGTGTTTATACCGTTACCGAAAAAAACGAGAAAAAGAACAAACAAAAAGTCCAGCTATGCTTTAATGTATATTTTTATGATTTCTCGTCTTCTATAGATGGAGTATGCAAAGACATCTTAACTAGAGCTGGACCAGAGGTGGAAGCCGAGCTAAAAGCAGGTGAGAAAAAGAAAAGCAGTTACTTAAATTCTCATCTTATCTGCCTCTCACTAATCATTCCTCTCCCACTTTCTGTGTAGCAAAAGTAAATCGAGGAGAAATTTTCGTGACCCAGCCTGGAAACTTCCCCTGTAAAGCTATTTTTCACATGCATGGAAAACAGGATGAAGTCCTCATTGAACAACTTGTATGTGATATTATTTACTATTGTGAATCGTATAATTACAGTTCAGTGGCAATTCCTGCCATGTGTGCTGGTAAGTATCTTGTTTGGCATTTCTATTTATCCTGTTTGTTTTTAAACACACACGCCTGAATGCAAGTGGTGTTTTAACAGGAGCTGGAGGGTTGAATCCTGCTATTGTGGCAGGAGCCATTCTTCGAGGGATCAAGTCTTCTACATCATCAATGAACAGCCTCACCAACATCCGCCTCGTCCTGATTAAGATCGATGTCTTCTCGGCTTTCAAAAAGGAAGCGATGCAGATGTATTCCCCAGCTGTCATCAACAGAGGTGACAGTATTCACAAACTGACATCTTGTGTGGTTATTTAGTGTATTGACTTTTAAAATAAAAAGGGATTAAATTATTATTTTACTGAAAATACTTGCTTATTTGTTTGATCCACCTTTCAGTGTTATTTCAAGAACAACAACAGCAACAACAGCCTCCTCCTTCTGTGAGTGCATGCCTCAGCAGACTCCGAATCAGGTCTACAAGTCAGCAGTCTGTCTTGGGTCTTTCCAAAAAACATGTTGACTCTGCCATGGAAAAGCTGAAGCATCAATATCAGACTCAGTACTCCAAGGAGCAACTGGAACTCCTCAACCAGGATGACATGATGGAGCTTAAGGAACTGGTGGAGGCCGAGGGTTTATTCATGCAAACTGATCAATCTGGCACCCTAACAGTGAGCGGGCTAAAAGACGGGGTCACCCAGGTGATGCAAAAAATGAATCATTTTCAGTTCATGGCCCTTGCTAGAGAGGTGAGAGTCAGGAAGGAGGAGGATTTGTACCTCCGAGTGGTTTGGTGCATCCTGGCACATAACGGTAACTGGGAACGCCTTCCCAGAACAGCCAATCACCAACTGGAAAACAACAAATTAACAGAAGGAATAAAAGATGCACAGGGACTCATATGGGAGGTTAATCTACAGACAATGATGGCCACACAACAACTGAGCAGACAGACGACAAATCTGAAACGACTTGAGAATCTCTCAGGTGAGAAGATCTCAGTGATGTTACAAAATGAGCCTGACTGATATTGGTGTTTGATGCTTGAGAGTAATACAAAACCAAAAGAAACAAATATTAAGGTGTACAAGCTGTAATGAAAGAACAGAGTACAAATAGAAATGCAAAATGTATCGCAACCTGCCGCACCTGTAAGAAAAACAATCATACAACACCTGGAACACAAAACTTCAAAGTGTACAGACGACCCCGCTAGAGCCTGGCTTCCCTGGTTCAAGCCATAGATCAGGGTCCTGGGCATCCAGGCATC